CATGAATCACATTTGATATAAAGATTGATATATGCATCTCATTCTGATATGCATCCAAGGATAGAGATTCCTTCTAGCTTCTAACCAGAACCAACACACACACACACACATATATATATATATATAGAGAGAGAGAGAGAGAGAGAGAGAGAGAGAGAATGAGGTTATCGGGAGAACCCAAAAGAAATTAAAAACCGAGAAACACTTTAATAAACATTTGTTTGTACAATATGCACATGTGTATACACATGCATAGAAATCAGAAAACATCTTCAATTACCATTATATACATATGCATATACCGGATAAATTACTTGCATGCACATTGCATTTCGAACAAAGTATTTATATACACATGTGTATATCGGACAGGTGAATGGTTATAAGGGTGTTTAGTATTTTATTATTTTATGTTTTATATATGTGTGTGTATGTATTTTCTTATGTTAGGACAAAAAATTGATAGTTTGGCAAGAAAATCCTTGATAACCTGGGCTAGGATTGTAGTGGGGGGGTGGTATGCTTATTTATTTTCATAGGTTTAAATAAGAATAAAAGAAGTAGAGGGGGACAAATTGTAATTATGGTGAAATATTAGAGAATAATTAATGTTAGGTTGTAATTACTAATTAGTTGAGTTGCTGCTTTCAAACATATTTAATCGAAAATGGTGGTTGTGTGGATGTGTTTTGGGTCATCAGAAATCAATGTTAGTATTGAGATAAGAATTTGAGATCGAGTAAAAGTAGTATTTACCTGGGTATTAAGAAATCCGTTCAACAATAACCTTAATTTACATTATGATTTAGACAGTAATTGAAAACTTACAAACACATATTAGTTGTAATGTCTTGTACATTTCGAACAAAACGCATCAGTTACCGAATTTAATGTGCAATTATTGGACAGTTACAAGTTGACAGTTTCACTAAAACTCAGAACGTGAAATACCTTATGAATCCAAGTCTGACTGTCTGAAGTTTTTGCCTTTAGAATTGAAGGGTTTTTTATTTTGTCTTGTGACAAAAGTTAAAAAGGGCGACATGCCTTTCGAAATTTCTAGACTTCGAAATTTCATTTTAAAAAACCTTCACTTCTAAAGGCAAAACTTCAGATAGTTTGAGCCATTTCTTACCTTATAAAGGTCCGTAATTAGTCAATTCAGAAAACATGAAGCTTTCTCATGAACTAGATTCAAGACTTAATTTTTTTTAGAAAACATGTAGTTTTATGAACGTTTTCTACGCCCTGGACCTTGCTAGGGGCGCTGCCCCTGGGACCACGCAAGGGGGATGACCCCTTACCCTACTATATGACGACATTCAATGACTTCTAGCTCTAGCTAGCTTATTCAAGTGGCATTTTGTACTTTTTAACATGTATTATAACTTAGTTGTAAATTTGATGTTGGGTATGCTTCGGTCATTTCTTCATTGAAAAAGATATGAGTTTGTCAGTCTCATGAATATAGATGTAATTAACCGCTTCCAAAAGTTGAGGAGCCGTAGAATTTTTTAGGAGATAATTTGTTCGTCATTTTTAATGAAACCGTACTTTTTATAATTAAATTAAATTAATTTTTATATTATAGTATTTATTTAGTGATCCAATAATTTCTTGAATCCGCCTCTGACTTGAAGCTTGCATGCTATTGTGTATTTGAACATCAAATGTGTGAGACGTTACATATGTTTAAATCTCAAATTTCTCCAATAAACCCAAAATCAAAAGAAATTTAATTTAATATAAAAAATATACATCATCATATAATAATTAATAAATCGAAAAAAAATTAAAGTTAATCTAAAAATTAACGTCACATATGCCAAAACATATTGAGTAATATCCAAAACCACATCTAGTAATATCCAAAATATATTGAAATAGAAATATACCATTTACCGATTTAATAGAAATAAATAACATATAATATAATTTATCAATTAATATATATACGGGTACGGTACGGGCAGGGCGGGGAGTGTGATACTCGTCCCCGTCCCCGGTTTGAGCCAAACGGGGATCCCCGTCCCCGAAACCCAGTTTAACGAGGAATCCCCGTCCCCAACCAGGGCGGATGGACCGGATTCCCCGATGGGTTTGGACCAATTCCCATGCCTAGTCATTTCAACCAATTATCTATCTATATATGTCACTTAAAAATACCACTCATAAATAGGATTCATATAAATCCAACGACTAACATAATTTATAAGCATAAAAATCAGAAGGAAAAAAATTCTCGGACACCATAATACCAAATACAAATATCACATTGAAAAGGGTCAAAGTATAGCAATAGGTAACGAAATTTGTCTTGGTTCCTATTTAACATAATGATGATTATTTTCCTCAATGTAACAAGGGTATGATTTTGCTTATTTCATATAATTTTGATAGTTCACCTGTAGATCTTGTTATTTTTTTATCACGTGGATGCCAAGTTGAGTTGTAAAGCTCTATTGCAGTTCTTGATAACGTGGCATAATGTTAGAGCAAAATCATCCGATATGACAAAGGAAGAAAATTTGTTTATCTGGTAAAATGATAAAGAATTGTAGGATGAATAGAACGTTTGTTATACTAACTGAGAAAAAAAGTTCATCACACTAACTAAGAATTAAGATAAATTTGTTACATTTTTCCTAAAGAGCTTTTCGTACTTGATACTTAGATTTAAGTTGAAAACGTCGATTCACTTTTATTGAATTTTATATTGTTATACAACAACCGAATGATCCAATTTGGATATTGAAATTTTGAATCTAGTACGATTCCAACTAACTGTCCAATTTTAGTGGTACAGTTTTAACTGGATCGAATACTTTTTGCCATAACCGTGGTGCTATCCAAAAATAGATGAAGAAATTATCAAGAATTAAACTAGAATATATATATATATATATATATATATAGAGAGAGAGAGAGAGAGAGAGAGAGAGGGTGTTATTTGAGAAGTGTTTTGGATTTTGGTTTCACTAATGGTTTTGCTTCAATGGTGCTCCATGGCTTCGATGGAGAAGTGGGGGCCGACAAATGGAGGGTGCATGTGAAACCCAAGTCACTGGAGGTGGCCAGAGGTAGGGTGGTGGTTAGCCGATAGAGAGTTGTTAGCGGCGAGAAGTATGCTCCTGCTCTTGGTGGTGGGTGAGGTTCTATATGTATAGACGAAAAATCGTGTGAGAATGAGAGTTAAGATGAGAAGCGTAAAAAGAGATATGGACCCTTGATCATCTTTAATCTCAAACTCATCCATGAATCGTGCTTGATATGAGTATTGATCCAGTACATCTCATCCTAATGTACATCCAAGAGTGATCCCTTCTTACGCTTCTCACTGAAACCAACGATATATATATATATAGATGAGCGATCAAATGAAAACCACTCCAATTTGTAAAAACCGTAAAAACTACTCTCATTCGTCGATTTCATTGTTTAATCTTATGAAATTTTTTCATGAAATTGTTTAATCTTGTGAAATTGTTTCATATAATACTTTTTTTTGATGAAGTTGTTTCATATATGGTTATGAAATTATTTCATATACTACTTAATGAAACTGTTTCATGTATTTCTCTAAAATTAATGAAATTGTTTCATGTATTTCTCTAAAATTAAAATAATGAAGATGATAATATCCATGATTAACATCATTCACAATAAAAATGATTAATCAACCTCTCATAATTACAAAAAAATGAACAAAATGAAAAATTATGATTAGTTGAATGAAGTTTGTATGATTTGTACAAATTAAGTGGTTTTTATTTGAACGCTCCCCTATATATATATATATATATATATATATATATATATATATATA